AATGTTCGGGTTTAAATATGTTGTTCAATTGATACAAACTATTAACAGGACCACTAAATTACGTAATTTACCGTCCATTCATCCATGTAGATTGTCTTAGAACAACTGATCTCTGTTTAGTGTGTATTATTCAAGTCTTTATTTACACTTTAAGGTAGTCACACATTTAACGTACACAGAGAGGAATTTCAAAAAGGCAGGAAGGGAGTATTAGAAGCAGCCAAGCAGGACTATTTACATACAGGCAGCTACACATTGGAAACTACTGATAGTCTGAACATCGGCTGATAGTCTCTAACACATACTGAAGACTGGTGGTTTGCAGTTTGCTGTTTCTGGCTCCATCTGCACAAAGATAAATGAGGGCTGGTGTGACGGTTGTAAATCAAGTCTTGATTGCTGTCAGGATGTTTCGATTATTAACTTGAAGTGGATGGCTTTCATTTTAAAAACTCAATTTGTCATGCACTGATCTCATATTGATGTAAGGTGCTTAACGGCAGGTGCAAGTGTAAATAATGCTGTAAAAATGTAGATAAGATTACACCAGCAGGCTCACTGTTGTGTGATAAGTACACTCAACAATAGCATGATCCTCAATAAGTAAATATACAAGCTACCCATAACTGTTGTGTCTCGTCAAATGTGTTAGTTATGTTTATGTATTATGTTTGTCATTTTCATGTTTTTTCACATCTGGTCATGTCTGTTTATTTAGGTTCTTCATCTCTAGTCAGTCTCTGTGTTTATTGTCATGTCTCGACTTTGTCTCTGGGTCGTGCATTTGGGTTCATCAGTTTGTGTGTAATGTATTGAGATCCTGACAATAACTGCCTACTAAAACTAGCTGGATGCATTTGGCAAAAATAACAGGGTCTTTCACATAACTTGATGTGGATTTAAAATACAAATAAAAAACGTATAATGTATATAAATCTTTATTTCCTCATTTAACTTTGTTGTGCATTGAAAGAAATGCATTGAATTATGAAATGTTCCCTCTTAGCAGTGCAGTACATACGTTTGGCCACTAGCTGTCAGTCTTTACTTTGAGAAAGGTGGATGGCGTACACAGGGGGGCAGACCAGAGCCAAGAATCTAAAGAGAGAGTCTTAAAAAAAAATTGTTTTTGTATTCTTGCAACAGTTTTTCAGGTATTTCGGATTGCATACATTTTCCCTTCTTTGCCCTATTTCAATTTTTATTTGAACCAATGTTTGGTGCTACAATCAGATGTCCATCACTTTGCACATTCTACCTTTTATAGACCAGGATTATGAACACAGATATAATGAAAACTAGTCAGTCTCAGTTAGGAAATAGAGCTCATTTGAGTAATCAAACCAGCCAAGCTGAATACGTTATATCTCTAGCTGATTTAAAGTATCTGATTACAGATCTGAACTGATTTAATAAATGGGCTGAGTGTACTGTGAGATTTTTTAAAACATCTGCAGAGAATTCAAACCTCCAGGTCATGTGATGTGAGAAATAAGAATCGTTAATGTACTATTGGTTCTATAAGGCCGTATGCTCTTTCAATGAGTTCAAACTAACATCTGCACCATCTGTGTGATATGTGCATATTTGGTAATATATCATTAATATATCCGGTTATTCTGATATGTGTACTCTTATAGTAGCCTACTAACTCATATAGCTTATGGCATCCATTTCAAGTCAGGGTCTGCATGATGCATGTAAAATAGGTTTCCCCCTCTGAACCCTCACTGTGAAAGCAGTAGGTTTGTTAATGAAATGCAGTGACTATACCAGACATATCTCCAGGGTAGGATGTCTGGATTAAAATGTGGGGAAAAGCACACGCATTGCTTTGGCCCAATTCAGCTTGTGTCTAGGTTTTTTATTTGTGTATTTTTTTAGATGTTGTAAAAAACTGACTTTTAGTGCAAGCTACATTTCCAGCATGATGCGTTTATGCCACAATATTACCAGGTGTTGTGTGATATGCCTCCCACTCAGGCAGGTATCATCGCTGGCTGTGGATCACAATACCAAAACCCCAGTGACACAGAATCAAGGCTTACTGTCAAGGACACCTCTGATAAAAACAGAAGTGACTTTCACATCGCTGTGCTGTACACTGTTCTCAACCTCAAATGGCGTTACACTGGCTGCTGATCTCTTTTCCCACAGCAAGTTTAGCTCATGCGGAAAAAAGCCTGCCCGAAAGCAGAGGTGCCATCACAGATAAATGGTGATACATCGGGGTGTTTGCGAAATTAAAAAAGAGAGGCTGCTGACAGAGTCTGAAGCTGGCAGTTGAGACAGGAACTCTGCAGCCTCTCGATCCCCTTCCTCTCAAGCAGAGTCAGGGGGTGAACGCCTGTTTGAAGCTCTCCCCCCGGGCTCCAGGGTTCTGTGGGATCCGGGTGTGCTGACACTGTTAGCACGCCTGATATGAGAGCCTGATCAAAGCTGGCTCATTCTGCCTGACCGATTTCCACAGGATTAAGGATTAGGGAGACAGGAAACTGGGAGAGGCACAGAGACAATCTCTGAGAGACAAAAAAAGGATCGTGAGGGTTAGGGAGAGTGAAAGGGATGGACAAATGCAAGAGGAGACAGAGGGGGTCATGGCACTGGCAGAGAACATCTTAAGAAAAATAAATCAGAGAATAAGTGTGAAGGGATTTAACAAACACATAAATCACTTCATTAATAAGTCAAACAAAAAGTACATTCAGAGAGCATTATAAAAGAGGCTTTTCTGTAAAACCCACATTTGGAGTGATTTTTAAAAGACAATGCAGCTTTAGTTTATCACCTTCTTTTACCAAACACGTTTTCCCAAAGGACCAGGCTGTGCTGCAGCTCAGGAATTGTTAACTCTGATATCTAGCCGGGAGATAAACCCTGCTGTGCTTTAATAGTGAAATCTTGAAATCAATTCAACAGGGCACCAGTGTAGAGCCGCTCAACGGGGGGAGAAATTATCGTTTGTCCTTCTTTTGGAGGACTACGCAAACAGGAAAGGGAATCTGGCAGTCTAAATGTAATACATCTAGAAGACATGTGCCATGTGACTGTAGCCCTGCTCCGCCATATCGCCGAAAACAGTGGGGTCCGCGACTGTGGCTAACACAGATTCAGGTCCCGGTGACAACCCGATGGGACCTCGGAGAGGTTTTCCACTTATCCTTCACAATCCAACCTCCTGGCAGTTCCTTTTGACTCAATGACTGTGAGGTATCATTAAAGCAAATATCCGAATAAAGTCACATAAGTTATCATCTAGATTGTTGATGGTCCTGGATAGGTTAGAAGTCTTAACTGTGAGGCAAGTTGAACATATTTTTGTCACATTAAGTAGTTCTATAGTCAAAAAGAAAGGCCTGTGATGGCTACAATCTTCAGTGTTGTTCAGTTGACAATAGCATATTTAAAGTAATAGTAGAACAAAATGAAAGTCTATGACCTAGCAACTTGTAAGAGTGTTTTTTAAAAGGTTGTTTATCATCACCTTTGAACAGCAGACAATTTTCTATTAGCCTAATAATCCTCTCATTCATGACAAGATTTGATTCAAGAACATCAAAACATGCATAGTGTTCCTTTCACACCTTGAGGTCGCTCTCCTGTGTGATGTGGTCCGGGTGATTGTGACAGGACATTTGTACTGATAACAACAGCTACTGAGCATTGGCGGAAACTACCTAGTTTATCAGACCTTTGTACGTGACATCTTGGAACCATGGTGTATGAAAAATCCTGTTTACTGGCAGGTGTGTTTAATAGTCGTCGTCGTCATGGAACATCCCAGTGTGTGAGTTTTGGGTGGTTTTGTGGCAGGCATCAGTTTCATGCACCTGACTAACATCATGTTATTGCACTGCTGTCTGTTGGTTTCTGTTACTCATTTTTCAGAAGTCCAGACCGTAGACTGTGCACGAGAGCCGAAACCGAGAGATGATGCACTTCTACATGGCCTCTAAAAGAGGAAGGGACTATACATTGAGATTGAGCAGGTAATTACCGATCACACTCCGGATTAAAAGTGGCGGAAGAAAGGTCAGGGAGAGGCAAAGTTACACACCCCCACCAGATGTGCGCCTGCTCTGGCCTATAGCCGATTCATTATCTCACAGTTCATGGTACCAGGGATGGTGTCCAGGCAATTGCATTACACTACACACACCCTGAGCAACCCGACCTGGGGATTTTTCATGTTCTGTGTGTTTGTATGTGTGTGTAAGGGGGAAGGGAGGAGTCCTTTTACACAATGGTGGCATCCATAATGACAAAGCAATAATTCACATAGTGCTCCAGCGCTGTGATCATTATGTTCCCAGTGAAGCAAATCACGTTCATTATTTTTTGGATTGTTCTTAGAGATAAACAAGAAGTGAGGGAAATAAATAAAGAAGCTGACCCATTCACACCCCATGGCATGCTGCCTCATTTGCCCAAGCTTCTATCCATTTTTGGTTATAGCCAATAGCAATAAAGGAAGTAGTCCCACTGTCACAGAAACAGTTGGCACGGAAACAGCACATTACACCATCGTCCAATCCCCCTCCCATTCCTTTGTCGTCATTTCTCATCTCCCCTCCCTCCCTCCCTCTCCTCTCCTGTCCCCTCCTCCTCCTCCTCCTCCTCCTGCTCTTACCTCTCTCCCTATCTTGTATGTTTTTTTCAATCATCAATGAAATCACAACCAATCCTGCTGCTGGCCTGTCAGCAGGCATATAAAAAAACCTCAAGAAACACATCCACTCTGTATCAACTCCATTCTAGCCGGCAGGGCTCAGATTCCTTAATGGCCAATGTATATTTAATCATTATAGCATGAAAAAAAGATGTTGTAGCTACCCCATCCAAGCCTGTTTTCTCTCTCTCTGTTACTCTCATGATTTAATCCTGACCATTTCCCCCTTCTCTCTCTATCCATGCTGACTCCTCCCTCCATTTCTGTCCTCCACTCCCTCGCTCTGCCTCTCTGTCTCTGACACACTCAAACACACGCACACATATATACACGCCCTCCACCCCCATCGCTGCAGTGTCTCAACTGCCTTGGAGCAAACAAGAGAGGATATAGAACGCAGCAGACGTTAATAAGACAGAAATAGAGGGGAGACAGAGAGAGATAGAGGAGAAATGTAAGTGAGTGTGTTTGAATATGAGGAAGATATGAAGATGAAACAGCAGGACTAAAGGTGGATTGCACAGAGCCTTTCTCTCCCTGCAAGGGCTTGTCTGCAGTATCCTTTGTAAATGGATGCTGCCTTGTGAATACGGTAAGCCTGACTACTCTCACACAGACACAAAGCTTTTTTGTAATCACTGGTTTGGACACAGAGGAGGAGCGAGACGCTTTATAATTACAGCTATTCTGTGGAGGGCGAGTGTGTTTTCCTGATAAAATGGGGAAGGTGATGTTCAGAGATGGCACCAAGGAAGGCTGTCCAGTCCCCTCCTCCACCCTGCTAGCTCTGTGCCAACAGACGCTGCTATCTTATGCTTGCAATTTGACTCATCTCCCCAGAGCATCCTTAATACTTATAGGATGCTTTTATCTCAACGCAGTGCTTAGTATGTGTAATTACTGTATGTAGGACAAGTGAAGGATGCATCAAAGATGAGTGCGTGCGTGCGTGCGTGTGTGTGTGCGTGTGTGTGTGTGTGTGTGTGTGTTTGCATGTACGTGTCTGTGCTCTGTCCAGGCCATGAGCTATGAAATGGAAAGAGGAGAAGTGAGAGAGTATACGCACACTATCAGGTGTTCAGTACTTACAACTGGCTTTACGTGAATGTGCAGTGGGAGGTGTACAAATCCCACTGAGCTCGCTGGCACTGACATTTGACGGTGAAGATTTATGTCTGCTGTTTTTTCGGGGGAAAATGTACATCGAATTTGGTTAATAACCTCGAGCTGAAATGTATTTGGTTTTTTGAGACGGTCTATGAATGTAAGTCTTAACGGTGAGAGGGAGGGAACAGACCGTGTTCATTACTCAGCACGCAAAACAAGATGATTTGTGACATTTTCTGCTTCAACATCTTTCCCAATCTTTCCAATTTTTAAAGCCTTCCAGTGTTTTTTTTTTTAATGGGGGCTTGGGCTCGGTTGTGCACCCTCAGAAGAGCATGTGTATTTGTGCGTACTGTATGTGTGTGTTGTGCTACATGCTTGAGAGAGAAAAAGAAAAGAGAGAGAACCAGTGCAGGGAGGGGTCGAGGGGCTGGGGGGTTTAACAGTAGGGAGGCAGATGGGCGGAGGTTGATGCAGCAGAGAGCAAGAGAGAGTGGAAAGAGAAGATATGGAACAGATTGGATGAAAGAGCGGCCGTGATGATTTCACGGTGGTAGCGATGTGACACAGAAAGAATGCAGGATATGATAGTTCCTCCGGCAGCAACTCACATCGAGGCCTAAAGACATCTTTGGATCACGGGCAAAGATGATGGATAAATTCCACCGTGCCTTTATCTCTTGAGCACTACTCACACAAACATGGATCATGAAGCATTAGATTGATACTTCTGCTGAACCTGTGTAATGTTGCCTGATGGGGTTTATGGGGAAAACTGGATAGTAATATTGATCGCTGTCACAGTGCAATGCTAACAGATTGAAATAAGCCCTATGGCAGCTGAGAGTTACATTGAAATGTTTTCATTAAAAAAAAATAGCTTTACATTTTGGAATTCAGCAAAGCAGTTTTTGGAGCGTACGAACTACGTTTTTTCAGGATGTGTTGGCTAAAATGCATCTCAATCATGCTTTATTTCTTTTCCGATCTTACATTACTAGATAAATCAAATGCATCAACATCATGCGTTTCTGAAGTTTAAATGACTCAAAGCGCAGTCAACTGGTCAGTGCAGTATTGGTTTCATTAAAACTTCAAAGAGTTGGGATTTAGGATGGTTAACAATGTGCACATACTCAATTCTCCATGATGCCATCTCAAGAGAAGATGTCAGCGGGAAGGAAAGAAAAACAGTGGCCTGTAATATCACACCCAGAATCAGAACTGCGTGCACGGCATCAAATGTCTTGCATGCAAACAGTGTGTCGACAACGGTGCCCACAATTCATTATCTTTGATGATTTTTTTTACTAAAGTCTCAGTTACTTGATGACGAACCAAGATGACATCCACTATGACCAAAGCTCTAATGAACCCTAATCATTTCATTAAATGTTTTCCTCTGTGACCTGTTAAATAATGTCAGGTCAATGATGACCTTGGCTTCAAAATGATGGATGACGAGGTCCAGCACCAAATTTAAAGGTTAATCACATGCTTACATAATGGGTCCTCACTAGGTTTCACACACAAACATGCACACACACACACACACACACACACACACACACACACACACACACACACACACACACACACACACAAATGTCATCATACCCTTATTGAGAATGTTTTAACATATTAAAAAAAGTAAATAGAAATGCCCTGATAAAGGGCTTTTGTTAAGCCAACCTCAACATGAATTCTTAAACCGGTTGAAGACACATCACATAAATTAAGCATAAAGCCTCTGCCAACATCATCAAAGTGTTTTGTCCTTTTTAGTTTCAACGGCAATACAGTTTGTTGCCACTCGAGCAACCGTTCTGCATATTGAAACAAGAGAAATGGTGTGACACAACCTATGCTGAGTTGACCTCCTTCCACCTCCTTTGTTACTCGCTACATCCACTCCACTGGGTGACATAATGGCAGGGGACAGCGAAAGAGACTTGGTTTCAAAGCGACAGAGGTTGTTGAGGTGGCGGCTTTTGCACTGAGGAAGTCAGTGTCACCGTGCGCGTCCGGTTCACTTCCAGCCGTCTTAAACATTTAAGGTGAGCACAGAGCTGACTTGGACAATTAAACTCAGTTCTATTACAGTTAAGTACCAAGGGGGCTAAGCGCAGTTCCCTCTGCAACCTACTTAATAAAATGATTAATCTTAGATGTCACTCATTTCATGGAGAGGGAGTACCCAAATGATCACAAGTTTTTTTGAGATGTGCTTAAGTGGTTGTAAGAATTAACATTAAAATAGAACCTGCAGAGGCAATGAGATGACTCTACAGTGAATACGTGTCAAGTTCTAACCTCTCAGATGCTTTGTCACTCTGTAAGTTCAGACAGGGCTCAGATTCAGCTGGCTCAGCATTTGGGTTTGTTTTGGGTTTTTACATCCTTGCCAGGTACTGGGACAAAATGTCATCTCCACACAAACGGCCGGCCAACACTGACGCAGAGAGGACTAATAAATGACTTAAAAGAAAAGCTTCAGCGAGGAAAGCTATCCACTGAATCAAATACAAAATCTTAGGGCGGGGAACTGAATGAGTAAGGATTAAGAAATCTGTGGAACATGAAATAACATCACCTCAATTCATCCCTCTTTCTCTTTCCCCTCCTTGTTCTAATCTTTGCTGCTAGTCACATACAGGGGCCAGTCTGTTTGATGCCGGTGAGTGAGAGGGCCTTACTTACAGCACTAAAATCTGAGAGGGCAGCACAGAGGGGACTAACAGAGCAACTTTGTCTGCCATTGCACACACATAACAGCAGTCATATGACAACAAGGAGGTGGAAGAGAGGGAGGGGGATGCTGAGGGAGTGTATGGCCTGCTACCCACTGGGGAGGGATGAGAGTCTATACTGTGTGTGTATTGGTTAAATATAGGCCTACATGTATTACTTCTGTGATATTTCTACAGGTTTTTGTAGAAGACATTTGAAGTTATGAGCACAACATTGACCTGCTTTTTAAAGAAAGTACCTGACAGTGGTGTCAGCCACCTCTACAGTCTACTGCTGTTGTCCTGCGGGGAAATCAGTTCTGGTTTCCAATGTTTAACATGCAGTATAATTGTCTTTCCCTGTTTGAACAGTTGACATTTTCTCATATCTTTCCCCTCCCCACGCATTACATAATACATACAGTTCAACTGTGCTGGCATGGTTGGCTGGCATCTGTTAGGGGCTTGGCAATATAGCAAGATTATACATAAGTGCATTCAAATATAGGTGTGGCTTCTTTGGACGGTGATTTCATCATTTGGTATAAATCTTGCAACGACTCTGCAGAGGCAACCGCCTCACTGCAATATGTAAGATATTATACTCTTATTATTCCTTTTAGCATCTACTTCATCATTGTGCCTGAGAGCATTTACTTTTCACTGCTGATCGAATGGGTTAACTGCTGTTGCATGTGCTTCAGTATGAGCCGTTTCTCATTTTCCTGTTCAAGTGATCAAATCTGCAGATAATGTCTGTGGGCTGTACAAGCCTGAAAGTCTCCGTTACTCACAATTTCCTTCTGTTGGAGGAAGCGTTTATCTTATCTGTCATGACCCAAATGAATATAAAGTTGGAGTGTTTGAACGAAGATCAGACTGCTAATAAAAACAACCTCAATTATTGTTCTGATCTACTGGATACATGCTATAGAGAGAGAAGACCTCAGTTACTGAAAGCAGAACATTTCCGTATGCACCAGCAGCAAAAGATCTGAACAGACAGATATCTAAAGACTTTTAGACACGTTTACTCACATATGCGTGTATACCAGTGAACACACACACAAGACTATACTGTCCACCTTGTGCCATCTTATCCCTTCACATCAGACAGCCATAGCTCAGCCTGTGCACAAACATACCATTGTCATCGCTGGCTGGCCTTGTGACTCAGTGTGACCCGCTGGATTGGAGAAGGGGGAACACAGCCATTGAGATCAGGAACGTTAAACGGAGCATTATCACGGAAAAGCATCTCGCATACAGAGGCCTCACCCCCATCCCGTCTCCACCCTCTGAACAGCCCACTGTTTTGGGGGAGTAGAGTAGAGAACACTGCACATCATTGTTTTCCATAATGAATGAGTAGTGTCCTCACATGTGTACAGTAAACAGGCATCTTTCTCTGAAGTCCGCATTCAGGACAGTATTTCAGGAGTGATAATACAAAGTGATAACAAGACATGTGGAACAGACAATTGTGAGATATAAATTAAGACTTTCAAATAACTAGGTTTGAATATTATAAAGCAATTTAAGGCAAATAACAGCAATTAAATGTTATAGCTGATTTTGGATTTAGCTTCAACTCCTTGATGGTTTGGTACATTCTTAATGAATAAATAGATTCACATTACTGGGAATAGCAAAACAGACAAGCTTATTTAAAAGCTGCATGATCCAATTTTGTGCCACTTGTTTATTTTTTTCAGGATATTTGACTTTCTTCCCTAGTTAGTTCCATTCTTTTTTA